AATTATTAACAATTTTATGTAAATATGATGAAATAAAAATATTTGTATTAATGAAACAATATACTGTATATCACAAAAATTTTATTGCAATTTAATAACTTGATGAAATGTATATTAAAATTATTTTATTATATATAACTTAAAAATAACTAAAAATTGTATAAATAGTGATAATTTACAAGATTATAAATATAATTATAATTATTTATATTTTTGAATAAATATAAATATATATTGATATCCAGTATATGCTGCAGGACATTGTATATATGAGTAAGTAATTTATAAAAACTAAAAAAGTTATATTCAAATTATAATCAATATTAAAATTATTGTTTAGCAATTGACTTGTATAAAATTTACCAAATATTATTCAAACAATAATAATAATAATATATTACCTATAGTGATAAATTATTTGTGTAAAAAATAAACTAAAACAAACAAACAAAAAATTGCTAACAATTATAATAAATTGTTTTCATATGTACTACTCATTCAAAAAAATAACAATTACAACACTTAATATTATATTCTTGTGATTGATATCTAGTAATTAATTAACACCAAAAACAATACCTTTAACAACATTTTATATAAAACTTAATTTTATTTACTTAATTAAACAAATTATATTATACTGTATATTATAATTTAAGAAATGGTTATTACGATAAATCGGATTTTACTGTATATCCCGGCACACAATCACTCAAACAATTACCACTCGGTTATAGTGTGGACCAGTTGTACGCACATCCAGACTATATGAGTGGTAATGAAACCAAATCTGATATCGGATTAATTAAATTGAAACAATGGATACCACTTCCGACTAAACCAAATACAATCAGTCTTATGAATGCCATTTGTTTGCCCACTAATAGTAGTATTAAAAGTAGTAGTAGTGGTAGATATACACCGTCTACTGGTATATATAAACCGTCTGAAAAACTTAATCAGTTGGCACTGGTAGCTGGTTTCGGTGCTTATGGCAATCACTACCATATTATTAATCGGCTACATATTGGTTGGGTATATATTAAATATAATAACGATTTATTATGGTATTATATGACACGTTATCCCAGATATACTGGTACATCAATATGTAGTGTAAGTTTTTAATTATTTATATAATTATTTTTAAAAAATTATTATTAATGTTTTTAAAAAAAAATTACCATAAACTACACTAATAATATTTTTATACAATTTTAACATTAGAAAAATGCAATTAATTAATTATTTTAAATATTAGTTATAGAGAGCAAAATATTTTTAAAACTTTAAATTTTTATTCAATATTATATGCAATATATTATATATTAAATATCATTATATTAAATATCAATATAATAAATATCTAAATTTAGTGAATATTTGATATTTTACAATATATATAATAAATGTAAATATAATAAACTGAAAATATTCATATTAATGATATACATATATATAAATAGGCAGTCAATTAATCTTGCGTCGCTTAATTTTTGAATAACTTTTGAACGTTTAGAGATAATTTAATTCTGTAAAAACAAAATTTTAATATGTCGACTAGTTTTCGAAATAATCGAATTTTAATACAAATCACCCTATTGTAATTTGATTTTATAATTTATATTGAAATTCGATTATTTCGAAAACTAGTCGACATATTAAAATTTTATTTTTAGAATTAGTAATAGAATTAAAAAATTTATCTAATAAATATATACAAGTCATAAATAACGTCTTTTTTATTTTAGACTATTTTATATAATATGATTCATGACAAACTTAAAAAGCCATAAAAATAAAACTACTAATCGGATTTTGATGATTCTTTTTTAGATTAAACTCCTTTTTTTATAAATATCTTCAATTGATTTAACAGTAATTTTCTTAACTTTTATTATATAAATAATTCCACCAATAATTACTGCAAACATACCAATAATTGCTATTTCTATAATTTAAAAAATGTATTGTTAATGTATTGATTAGGCATTTATTTTTTTCATTTTAATATTTATTATTGAATATAATAGTAATTATTTTATATTATAATTATTATAACCAAATTGTTTTCTTAATAATTTGATACATAGTTACTATAGTTTATATTAAATAACAATTGATTGACTTTGTAAGCAGTTATTTCTTTAATTAGTTTAATAAATATTATAATTTATATATATTCGTAAAAATAATATTAAATTATTATAAAATTTTACATTTATTTATAAATAATTCAATATCGGTATATATTATATATCTATATAAATATAATAAATATTTGATATTTTTACAATACCTTTAATAATTAACAATTTTATGTAAATATGATAAACTAAAAATATCTGTAATAATGAAACAATATACTGTATATTACAAAAAAATTTATTGTAATTTAATAACTAGATTAAATGTATAATATTATTATTTTATTATATAACTAAAAATTGTAAAAATAGTGTTAATATACGACATTATAGCTTAAATTATAATCATTTATATTTTCGTTTATATATATACTGTATTTGTTAATTATAATGTCTTGTTTATCAAATTCAGTCAATTGTATCAAACAATTATTGATTATATGGTATACATTATATGCTATCATATCATCAATGGATAGTATAATATCACCGGAAGGGTGTGGTGTGGGCCGCGAGTCAGTGCTGATGAACGGCCAGTGTTTCCGCTGGTATGCAAACTATACACAACAACAGGACATACAGTTTGGACGATCGGCCAAACCGGGAGAAGTGCCGTTTGCGGTATATATTCATAAATATAAGAAACTATGGATATTTCCTTACGGGGAAAGGTATATCAATATAATAATTATTGTAAATAATTATATAAATACTGTATATTAAACGACAAATACTATGAAAAATAAATTATTATAGTATGTGTTCGGGTTCAATATTAAATGATCGATGGATTATAACAGCAGCACATTGTATATATAAGTATGTAATATATAAAAATAAAAAATTATATACAAATTATAATCAATATTTAAATTTCATGTTTTACCCATTATTATTATTATTATTATTATTATTATTATTATTATTATTATTACAGTATATATATACTTAGCAAACATTAATAATAATATTGATAAGTATAAAACTACTTAAAGTAAATATTTGTTTAAAATATAATAAGCTAAATAAAATAGATATTTTATGAAGATTTTCAGAAAATTTATTTGATATTTAAACTAAAATATTTTTATAATTAAATAATACTTTTGTTTACATATAAAGTAACGATTAAAACACTTTATATTATATTCTCCGGAAAATTCTAGTAATTAATTAACATTAAAAACCAATACCTTTTATATGATTTTTATCCAATTGACACCATTTTATATATAACTTCATATAACAAATTTACAGCAAATAATATTATATTATATAATATTATAATTTAAGAAATGGTTATTACGACAAATCGGATTTTACTGTATATCCCGGCACACAATCACTCAAACACTTACCACTCGGTTATAGTGTGGACCAGTTGTACGCACATCCAGACTATATAAGTGGTAATGAAACCAAATCTGATATCGGATTAATTAAATTGAAACAATGGATACCACTTCCAACTAAACGACAACCAATCAGTCTTATGAATGCCATTTGTTTGCCCACTAATAGCAGTATTAAAAGTAGTAGTACTGATAGATATAAACCGTCTGAAAAACTTAATCAGTTGGCACTGGTAGCCGGTTTCGGTGATTATGGCAATCACTTGCATACTATTGATCGGCTAAATATTGGTTGGGTATATATAGTATTCAATGATGATCAATTAAACTATTATATGAGACGTTATCCCAAATATATTGGTACATTAATCTGTAGTGTAAGATATTTATTATTTTTTAATCATTTAAAAATAAAATTATTTTTAACGTTTTTTATTAAAAATTAGCTATAAACTATCTTAATATTATCACTATAATATCACTGGCAGTGATTCACTGCAAATAATAAAATACAAAATTTTTAAAATATTAAATATATATTGAATATAATATTCATTAATAAAACTCACATCTATTGTACACTTAATTACATTAATCTAACAAACATTTTAAATTTCCTATAAAAACAATGCAATTTTATTTTTTAATTATTTTTATTATCAAAATTATCTAGTTAATATCTTATACTGTCATTATAAAATAACTTAGGCGTGGTTCACATATTACGTTCGCACTTTTTAAAAAATCTAGACCCCATCTCTCCCCTATGTTCGCAATTGTTCGCATGTAGTCATTTAAAAAATAAGTCTCTACCCCTCCCATCCCACCTTGTTCGCAAAAGTTCGCTTTGGCTAACCTCCCCCCTCTCATCAAGTGCGAACGTAATATGTGATTATAAATATAATAATATATAAAATTTATTTAAAACTTGTTAAAATATGGCTTATTGTTATTTATGTTAAAAACAATTTATAGGGTGATTCTGGTGGTCCACTGTATCAGTATATTAACGGTAGGGCAGTGCTCATTGGTATCACTTATGGCAGTGAAAAAACATCTAAAATCAATTGTTTGGATCCAAAAGATTACAAAAAACTAATGCTTTTTGTACGCATTTTACCGCATTTGGATTGGATTACAAACATTGTATCTAATAATTAGCTAATTATATATAACTTTAACATTAGAAAAATATCAATTAATATCAATTAATCAAAAATATATTAGAAAATATATTTAATCAATTTTTTTAAAATTAGTTGTAGAATGCAAATTATTTTTTAAAATATAAATTTTATAATGCTTTTTAGAAATTAACACATTATTTTATCATATAATCTATTTATATATAAAATATTGTATTTACAGTATGACAAATATAATAATTAAAGAGCTTATTTTTGTAATTTTAATTTTATTTATATATTAATATAAAAAAATAATAAACAAAATTGTTAAAATAATCAAATTACAATATTTTCCAAGATTAATTTAATATAATTTAATTATTAGTTATAAATGAGTTATCAATTGGATAATTGATGTAAATATTGTCTACATTTTCTTGTGCATCGTTTACTAATTTTTCAATTATTGATTCAATTTCTACTATTAGTTCAGCAAATGTTGGTCTATATTGCGGATCATAAGACCAACAGCGCATCAATACATTTGTATAAACAATTTGTGGACAATGGTATGGTTTTAGCAAACGTTGTCCTTGTTTTAAATATTTATCAATCTTACTGTTGGACACATTAGGATATGGTTTAACTCCGCGGGTCATCAGTTCCCATACGAGTACACCATAAGACCAGACATCAGTTTTGGTATCGTATACACCTCTTTCCAGACTCTCGGGTGACATCCATTTGACCGGAAGTTTACATTTTTGATTATTACTTTTGTAATAATCTTTATTAAATAAATCTCTTGATAAACCAAAGTCTGCTATTTTGACTAATAATTTATCGTCGATAAGACAGTTACGTGCGGCCAAATCCCGGTGAATGATATGATGTTCCGATAGATAAGACATACCTATTGAACATAACATAATATTCAATAAAAAACAAAATTTAAAGTAAAAGTAATAATAAAAAAAATTATTGACCTTTTGCTATATCGATGGCAAACATGAGTAGCATTCTTGCTGTTAGATAATTGTTATCATTTCTAATATATGATAACAAATCTCCGTTTGACATAAAAGGTAAAACAATTATCGGTTCACCGGTTGTTTCAAAGCAGACACCAAAAAGTGTTAAGACATTCAAATGGTTGAAGTCTTTCATTATAAGGCCTTCCTTTAGAAATGCTTCGATAGTATTGACATCACTTATCTTTGCTATAAAAATAGTTATAAAATATTTAAAATTATATATTTTTTACACTTTATATTATATACATTTTTTTAGAGTTTTTGCGGCCATTTCTCTCTCATTATTTAACTGATTGTCAAATAGTAATCCCTTATAAACAGTGCCGAACTCTCCCATTCCTAATACAGATTCAAGTCTTATGTTTTTTCTTTCGATATAAATATTTTGATTCCGTATTGAATCCATAATTTCATCACTTAATTGGTATTTATTATCATTCGATGTCAACATAATGTCTATAAATTAAAGAATAAAATAATATTAATTTTATGTTTTGATTTGATTTTAGGTTTTTGATTATATAATTATAATAAACTATTATGTAATACAATAAAAATAATATAATTAGTAATTAATGAGATAAACTTATTATGATTTTAAATAAATACCATTTATTATCACTTGTCTATTGTCATCGTTAACATTGGTCTCCTTTTTATAAATAACTTCAATTGATTTAACAGTATTTTTATTACTGTTTTTCTTAATTTTTATTATATAAATAATTCCACCAATAATTACTGCAAACATACCTATAATTGCTATTTCTATAATTAAAAAATATATTTTTACAAATAAATAATATTAATTAATTATAATTAATCTTACCTGGTAATTTATCTTTATTCTCTTCTCCTTTATTTATGCAAACATTATTAAAACAAATAAATAAATTAGATATTATATTAAATTTTATTAAAAATTTTCTATTATTTGTAAAATAATTTTAAATCAATATATTTTAGATAATAATAATTATTATTATGTTTAAATTTATATTCAATTTAATATAATAATTATTAATTGATTATTAGATTAGCTATAATATAATTGAATTTATAATATATATTAATAATAATATTAATTATGTTTTAATTTAACTTTAACTACAATTTAAAATATAATAAATATTAATAACTTACCCATTGGTATGCATTGTGATGACATTGATGTCCACTCGCTATTTGTTACACATATTATATCTTTATTTTTAATTAAATGATAATTTTCCTTACATTTAAATTTTGCAATTGAATAATACATATTTGTTTCAATGCTAACCAAACCATTCAATGGCACATCAGGTGTCCCGCAGTTATTATTGTTTGATAACAATATTTGTATTTCACAAATATTTAATTGGAAATTGTTTTTAAAAAAATATACTCAAATAATCTCCATAAATATAATAATCGTTTTGTATTGATAAACATTTACATAATTTATGAAACTTTTTGTTAGTAAATGTAATTTTGAAAAATTATTTTGATTTTTTAGACCAAATATTAAGTGATAATGTGTTAAAATCTAGTTCATTGTTAACCATACTTACTAATTGAACGCCTTTAACATAAAATGTTGTATTAAAATATATTTCTATTAAATTGTTTGTATTATTTGATGAAAATGTATCAAAAATTTTATCGAATAGTTGTTTATCAAATAAATAATGAACAAAACCAAAATAAACAATTAATTTATTTACTAACAATACTAATTGTGTGTTACATGAATTGTGGACAACCGGTGCCAATACTGAACTAATATTTTTGTTTTAGGGCACTCATGGTTTGGCCAATCATTTGTAGTTTAGCTACCAATTGGTGTCCATTGCTTGACCACCGATAATGACCAGTCATCAGATATCATGCAATTAATTAGTGTATATTTCCAATCAATTTATAGTCTTTATTATACTTATATTTAATATGTTTTAAATAATTGCCACTAAATTGTGTTTTATTGTTAATGTAATATTTATGCATTAATTTTGTTTTTAATATTTATTATTTAATGTAATAGTAATTATTATTATTATATAAAATGTGATTTTATATTATAATTTTTATAACAAAATTGTTTTATTAATAATTAAAGTTAACATAGTTAACAATAGTTTGTATTAAATAACATTAGATTTTCTTTAACAACATTTATTTTTTTCAGAAATAATAGTATAAGAAATAATGTAAAACTGAAAAAATAATTATTTTAAAGTGCTTATTAAATATTTACATTATTTTATCATATAATCTATTGATATATAAAATATTTGTATTTATGCCAACTATATACCAAATAGTTACTATAGTTGTATTAAATAATAGTATTATAAATAATATAATTTATATACATTAGTAAAAATAAGATTAAATTATTATAAAATTTTACATTTAGTAATAAATAATACAATATTGTTATAAATTATATTTCAATATAAATTTATTAAATATTTAATATTTTTACAATTTCTATAATAATTAACAATTTTATGTAAATATTTATATTAATGAAAAAATATACTCTATATTATAAAAATTTTATTGTAATTTAATAACTAGATTAAATGTATATTATTATTTTATTATATATAACTTAAAAATAACTAAAAATTGTAAAATAGTATTAATTTACGAGATTTAGATAAAATTATACACATACACATACACATACACATACACATACACATACACATACACATACACATACACATACACATACACATACAAATAAATAATTATAATTAATTTTTTACAAATAAATAATTATAATTAATTTTTTACAAATAAATAATTATAATTAATTTTTCACAAATAAATAGTTATAATTAATTTTTTACAAATAAATAATTATAATTAATTTTTCACAAATAAATAGTTATAATTAATTTTTTACAAATAAATAATTATAATTAATTTTTCACAAATAAATAATTATAATTAATTTTTTACAAATAAATAATTATAAATAATTATAATTAATTTTTTACAAATAAATAATTATAAATAATTATAATTAATTTTACCTGGTAATTTATCTGTTTCCTTTATATCTTCTGTTATGCAGACGTTAATAAAACAAATAAATAATAGATATTATATTAAATTTTATTAAAAATTTTCTATTATTTGTTAAATAATTTTAAATCAATATATTTTAGATATTAATAATTTTTATTATGTTTAAATTTATAATCAATTTAATATAATAATTATTAATAGTTTATTAGATTAGCAATAATATTGTAACGGGAATGGTATTATGGGTTTATAAAGGTTGGTCCCGTTAACACGGTCCGAATAACCGGATACCGTGAATATATAAAATAATTCGCGTAATTTATGGAAGGGTAGCTTATATGACACCTCACGGGCGTCACGGTATATATGGATGACCCTCTCGGGGCTCACTGGCTACTGGTCAATGCTTATAGTCTATTGAAAGCCTTTATCGGATCTCCAGGGGGCTCTCCGTGAAAACGGACTACCTTCCCCGTTAATACTCCTAGGCTGTATGCATATAATAATAGTAGACGTTATTTGTGTGTTCAAGTGCAGGCCCGTAGGCCCACAAGTTCAAACTTAACTTATTTTATTATAATATAATGCTTGGGTATCGATAAATCGTAAGTATAACATGTGTGAGTATATAATAACAATTAATTAACATTTAACTAATTTAACATAATTATAATTAATATTTAACCTTATATATTTGTTTAACTTAATATTCTTAATAATAATAATTATAAAAATCGGTATTTAAATATAACATAATTGAGTTATTAATGATAATCATAATTGATAATTACATGTATAATTTAACATAGAATTTTAACATTAGATACAGTATAACAAATAATACAGTATAACTTATTTAAAAATACGTAATAAAGATATTTTTATTATATTTCTCTGGAGGCGTCCGCCATTCTATCACAATATAATTGAATTTATACTATAATATATATTAATAATAATATTAATTATGTTTTAATTTAACTTTAACTACAATTTATAATATAATAAATTCTGTATTAAAATATATTTAAATTAAATTGTTTGTATTATTTGATAAAAATGTATCAAAAATTATGTGGAATAGTTGTTTATCAAATAAATAATATACATAACTATTGTTGGTTTGATTATTAATTATTGTTTTATATACTAAACTGTTTGTCCAAATTGTGGGTTTAGATTCAATTAGACAATTGGGTATATTTGACGACAAATCTCCGATACCTTCCTTACAATAACAGCTATTATTGCCTATCAATACTAACTGTGTATTACATTAATAGTTGTTAACCTTTGTCAATACTGAACTTATATTTGCATTTTAGGGCACTCCTAGTTTGGCCACTCATTGGTAGTTTAGCTACTAATTGGTGTTCATTGCTTGACCACCGATAATGACCAGTCATCAGATATCATGCAATTAATTTGTGTGTATTTCCAATCAATTTATAGTCTGTATTATAGGCTTTAATTATTTGAATTTTGCAAAAACATATATTTAAATTGTTTGCAAACAAAATTGATTTTAAATTATTGCCACTAAATTGTGTTTCATTGTTAATGTATTGATTAGGCATTTATTTTTTTTCATTTTAATATTTATTATTGAATTATTAATTGAGTAATTATTTTATATTATAATTTTTTTAACAAAATTATTTTATTAATAATTTGATACATAGTTACTATAGTTTATATTAAATAACAATTGATTGACTTTTTAAGCAGTTATTTCTTTAATTAGTTTAATAAATATTATAATTTATATATATTCGTAAAAATAATATTAAATTATTATAAAATTTTACATTTATTTATAAATAATTCAATATCGTTATATATTATATATCAGGGTTAAGCAAGGTTTTGGATTTTAGGGGGGGGGTAGACCGGGGTAAAATTTGCAAAATTCTCGAAAAATCTTGGGGGGGTATTGGGTGGGGTAAGATTTTTATTGCATGACCACCGATAATAACCAGTCATCAGATAATTAATTTGTGTGTATTTCCAATCAATTTATAGTCTTTATTATACTTGTATTTAAGTTATTTTAAATAATTGCCACTAAATTGTGTTTTATTTTTAATGTAATGTTTATGCATTATTTTTGTTTTTAATATTTATTATTGAATTTAATAGTTATTATTATTATTATTATTATATAAAATGTGATTTTATATTATAATTTTTATAACAAAATTGTTTTATTAATAATTAAATTAACATAGTTAACAATAGTTTGTATTAAATAACATTAGATTTTCTTTGAAAACATTTATTTTTTCAGAAATAATAGTATAAGAAATAATGTATTAATAAATTTATATTAAATTATTATAAAATATTTAATGCTTTTATTTTACATTAAGTAAAAAAATAATTCAATATTATATGCAATATATTATATATTATATAACAATATATTAAATATCAATATTTTAAATATCTATATTTATTGAATATTTGATATTTTACAATATCTATAATAATTAACAATTTTATGTAAATATGATAAAATAAAAATATTTCTATATTGTATATCATATAAATTTTATTGTAAATTAATAACTAGATTAAATGTATATTATTAGTATTTTATTTCATATTACTTAAAAATAACTAAAAGTTGTAAAAATAGTGATAATTTACGAGATTATAACTTAAATATAATTACATTTATTTATATTTTCGTATTAATATTAATATATATATAGATATCCAGTATATACTGTCTGTTATTATTATAATGTCTTGTTTAACAAATTCAGTCAATAGTATCAAACAATTATTGATTATATGGTATACATTATGTGCTATCATATCATCAATGGATAGTATAATATCACCGGAAGGGTGTGGTGTGGGCCGCGAGTCAGTGCTGATGAACGGCCAGTGTTTCCGCTGGTATGCAAACTATACACAACAACAGGACATACAGTTTGGACGATCGGCCAAACCGGGAGAAGTGCCGTTTGTGGCATATATTTTCAAATATATGAAATTATGGATATTTCCTTACGGGAGAAGGTATGTCAAAATAATATATATATATTTATATATATAATTCACATATTAAATAAATAATGTTTATTAAATGACAATTTATTTTATTTAATACAAATGTATAATTATAGATTATTATTTTGTTATACTAAATCATTTGATACCCCACATGACTATAGTTGTTTATTTTGTCATACTGAATCATTTGATACCATACATTACAATATTTATATTATGTATATTTGACCAGTTTTTAAATTTTTATGTTATTATATAGCCGCTATAATTATATAACTAATAGTTTTCAATGTTATTCAAGTTTTTTTTCTGAAAATGCTTTCTAGCATTCTTAACTGGTTTTTATTTTCGAAATTATATAGTTAATATTATAACTTACAATAACTTAATTTTATGATTTTTTTTGGTTTTAAAAATTTATTAATTTTCTTGACTTTTTGTTATTTGTTAAAAACAATTTATAGGGTGATTCTGGTGGTCCACTGTATCAGTATATTAACGGTAGGGCAGTGCTCATTGGTATCACTTCTGGCAGTGAAAAAAYATCTCAAATCAGTTGTTTGAATCCAAATGATTACAAAAAATTTATATTTTTTGTACGCATTTTACCGCATTTGGATTGGATTACAAACATTATCACTAATAATTAGCYAATTATGTCTGACTTTAACATTAGAAAAATGCAATTAATTAATTAATATTAGTTATAGAGAGCTAAATATTTTTAAAACTTTGTAAAATTATATTTTAAAGTATTAGTATTAAAGTATTAAAAGTGATTTTTTAAAAATATTTATAAGATTTAACTTGTTTAGACTATTTTGGATATACAGTATATCACATTATGATTACTTTCGAGTTAATATTAATTATTTATTATATATATATATATATAATAAAATATGCCATAATTTAGTTTAATTATATATTTAGATATAATAAATTTATTACAGAAGTAAAATATATTGTATAGCATATTGTATACAAAATTTATATTAAAGTATTATAAAATATTTATTGTATTAATATTTTACATTTAGTAATAAATAATTGAATATCTTTATATATATACTGTATATTTGATAATTTACAATATCTATAATTATTAACAATTTTATGTAAATATGATGAAATAAAAATATTTGTATTAATGAAACAATATACTGTATATCATAAAAATTTTATTGCAATTTAATAACTTGATGAAATGTATATTAAAATTATTTTATTATATATAACTTAAAAATAACTAAAAATTGTATAAATAGTGATAATTTACAAGATTATAAATATAATTATAATTATTTATATTTTTGAATAAATATAAATATATATTGATATCCAGTATATGCTGTTTGTTATTATTATAATGTCTTGTTTAACAAATACAGTCAATTGTATCAAACAATTATTGATTATATGKTATAYATTATGTGCTATCATATCATCAATGGATAGTATAATATCACCGGAAGGGTGTGGTGTGGGCCGCGAGTCAGTGCTGATGAACGGCCAGTGTTTCCGCTGGTATGCAAACTATACACAACAACAGGACATACAGTTTGGACGATCGGCCAAACCGGGAGAAGTGCCGTTTGTGGCATATATTTTCAAATATATGAAATTATGGATATTTCCTTACGGGAGAAAGTATGTCAAAATAATTTATATATATCAGGCTAAAGCAAGGTTTTGGATTTTAGGGGGGGTAGACCTGGGTAAAATTTACAAAATTCTCGAAAAATCTTGGTGGTATTGGGTACTTAAAAATAGTTGATAAAAGCTTTTAATGATACAATATTAGTATTTTAGTAATTTTTAACTTTTAAAAGTATTAATTTTAGTTTATAGATATATATTTTTATTTTTTAATGTTATTTTTATATTAATACTGACTGAATACTAATTATAAATTTTATAGTTAAAATTTTAAAAATAATTAATAAAAACCATGTAATTTAAGTATTTATTTTTTTATTAACTTCTTAAACTATCTTAAGCTTATATTTAAATTGTAATATGATTACTCTTTTCAACAAATAAGTAATTTTTAATTTTTTAGTTTAATATTTTAATTAAAATTATGTTATTTTTAGATGAGTTTTAACGTTATTTTAACTTTTTTACTTATTTTTAATCAATAATTAGATTCGTATAAATTTTAAAAACATAAAAACATATACTAAAATAGTTTAAATTAAAATTAAAATTTTTAAAAACTCCTCCTTTCTCCTCCTTTTTAAGCGACAATTTTTCCTATTTGGTCAAAAAAGTCTGGGGGTAAAATCCCAAAATCTCGATCTTAGGGTGGGTATTTTGACCTTACCCCCTTACTTAACCCTGATATATAAATATTCAATAAATATTTTATACTAAATGATAATTTAATTTATTTTATACTAAATGATAATTTAATTTATTTAAAACAAATACTATATAAAATACATTATTATAGTCACTGTTCGGGTTCAATATTAAATGATCGATGGATTATAACAGCAGCACATTGTATATATAAGTATGTAATTTATAAAAATTTATAAAATATACAAATTATAATCAATAATAAAATTTCATTTTTTGTTTGTAACTTGTTTTGTATAAATTTTAACACTTATTATTATATAGTACAGCTATATATATACCGTTATTTGGGTCTGTTCACATAGTACGTTTGCATGTCTTTAACCCTTAACCCCCCCTCCACAACAAAAAATAAAATATTATCTAAATGAGAACGTTTTTAATGTCTCTACCCCTCCCATCCCCTCGTTTGCAAAAATTCGCTTTGGCTAAACCCCCCCCCGCCCCTCAATTGCGAACGTATTATTATGAGAAACACTCATATACTTAAAAAGCAATATATCTGTAGATATGAAGTCTATTAAATTAATGAATGAATGAATGATTGTGTAAAAGATAATAAACAAACAAAAAATAAGTGATTAAAATGTATTTAAATAATTTAATCGATTAATTAAATAATAATTTTGTTTTCATGTAAAGTAATATCTTTGACAACATTTTATATATAACTTAATAAAATTTACAATAAATAATATTATAGTTTATTATAATTTAAGAAATGGTTATTACGATAAATCGGATTTTACTGTATATCCCGGCACACAATCACTCAAACACTTACCACTCGGTTATAGTGTGGACCAGTTGTACGCACATCCAGACTATATAAGTGGTAATGAAACCAAATCTGATATCGGATTAATAAAATTGAAACAATGGATACCACTTCCGACTAAACCAAATACAATCAGTCTTATGAATGCCATTTGTTTGCCCACTAATAGTAGTATTAAAAGTAGTAGTAGTGGTAAATATAAACCGTCTGAAAACCTTAATCAGTTGGCACTGGTAGCTGGTTTCGGTGATTATGGCAATCACTACCATACTATTAATCGGCTACATATTGGTTGGGTATATATTAGATATAATAACGATTTATTATCGTATTATATGAGACGTTATCCCAAATATAGTGGTACATCAATCTGTAATGTAAATATTTATTCATATTTTATATTTATATTTTATTTTAATAATTAGCTATAAAATACTTTAAGCACTCACTATAATATCATTACATATAAAAAATTAAAAAAATATAGAGTAAATAAAATACTAATAATATCGATATATAATATATATATAATTTATTGTATACTACACATACACATACACATACACATACACATACACATACACATACACATACACATACACATACACATACACATACACATACACATACACATACACATACACATACACATACACATACACATACACATACACATACACATACACATACACATACACATACACATACACATACACATACACATACACATACACATACACATACACATACACATACACATACACATACACATACACATACACATACACATACACATACACATACACATACACATACACATACACATACACATACACATACACATACACATACACATACACATACACATACACATACACATACACATACACATACACATACACATACACATACACATACACATACACATACACATACACATACACATACACATACACATACACATACACATACACATACACATACACATACACATACACATACACATACACATACACATACACATACACATACACATACACATACACATACACATACACATACACATACACATACACATACACATACATTTTATTTCATTATCATTTGTTTAAATATTAATTAAAAACAATTTATAGGGTGATTCTGGTGGTCCATTGTATCAGTATATTAACGGTAGGGCAGTGCTCATCGGTATAACCCGAAGCAGTGAAGCTATTGATTCTTGTTTGGATCCAAAAGATTATAAAGCAATGATGACTTTTGTACGCATTTTACCGCATTTGGATTGGATTACAAACATTGTATCTAATAATTAGCTTATTATATATGATTTTAACATTAGATAAATATATTGAGTAAAATTCTTAAAAATTAATTATAAAAAGCAAAATATTTTTATAACTGTTTTTTAATTTTTTAATCAATATTTTAAAGTGTTTTTTAAAAATTAACATTACTATATTTATATAATATATAAAATATATAAAGTATTTGTATTTATTCTAACTATAATTATTAAATACCTTATGTTTGTAAATTTGATTTTATTTATATATTAAAATAAAACAAAATAATAAACAAAATTGTTAAAAAACACAAATAACAATATTAAAGATTAATATCCATTTGACCGGAAGTTTACGTTTTTGATTATCACTTTTGTAATAATCTTTATAAAACAAATCCCTCGATAAACCAAAGTCTGCTATTTTGACTAATAATTTATCGTCGATAAGACAGTTACGTGCGGCCAAATCCCGGTGAATGATATGATGTTCCGATAGATAAGCCATACCTATTGTACATATAATAAATTTTAAATAATTTTAAATTAATTTTATTATATCTTTAGATAAAATAAATATTAGCAAAAAGTATTTACCTTTTGCTATATCGATGGCAAACATGAGTAGCATTCTTACGGTTAGATAATTGTTATCATTTCTAATATATGATAACAAATCTCCGTTTGCCATAAAAGGTAAAACAATTATCGGTTCACCGGTTGTTTCAAAGCAGACACCTATAAGTGTTAAGACATTCAAATGGTTGAAGTCTTTCATTATAAGGCCTTCCTTTAGAAATGCTTCGATAGTATTGACATCACTTATCTTTGCTATAAAAATATTTTAAAAACATTTAAAATTATATATTTTTTATACTATATATATATTACATACACTTTTTTATAGTTTTTGCGGCCACTTGTATCTCATTATGTATTTGTTGATCAAATAGTAATGCTTTATAAACTTTGCCGAACTCTCCCATTCCTAATACGGATTCAAGTTTTTTTATTTTTTCTTTCGATATAAATATTTTGAATCCGTATTGAATCCATAATTTCATCACTTATTTGGTATTTATTATCATTTGATGTCAGCATAATGTCTATAAATTAACGAATAAAATAATATTAATTTTATGTTTTAATTATATAATTTTAATAAAATATTACTTAATAGAATAAAAATAATTTAATTAGTTATTAATGAAATAAACTTATTATTATTTATAATAATTTTAAATAAATACCATTTGTTAACACTTGTCTATTGTTATCGTTAACATTGGACTCCTTTTTATAGATGACTTTAATTGATTTAACAGTATTTTTCTTATTATTTATATTTTTCCTAACTTTTATTATATGAATAATTCCACAAATAATTATTGCAAACAAACCAATAATCGCTATTTCTATAATTAAAAAATATTATAATTAATTTTTTACAAATAAATAATTATAATTAATTATAATTAAACTTACCTGGTAATTTATCTTTTGTTATTCAGACGTTAATAAAACAAATAAATAATAGATATTATATTAAATTTTATTAAAAATTTTCTATTATTTGTTAAATAATTTTAAATCAATATATTTTAGATATTAATAATTTTTATTATGTTTAAATTTATAATCAATTTAATATAATAATTATTAATAGTTGAATTTGTATAATCAATAATTGAATTTATACTATAATATATATTAATAATAATATTAATTATGTTTTAATTTAACTTTAACTACAATTTATAATATAATAAATTCTGTATTAAAATATATTTAAATTAAATTGTTTGTATTATTTGATAAAAATGTATCAAAAATTATGTGGAATAGTTGTTTATCAAATAAATAATATACATAACTATTGTTGGTTTGATTATTAATTATTGTTTTATATACTAAACTGTTTGTCCAAATTGTGTGTTTAGATTCAATTAGACATTTGGGTATATTTGACGACAAATCTCCGATACCTTCCTTACAATTTTACATTTATTTATAAATAATTCAATATCGTTATATATTATATATCTATATAAATTTAATAAATATTTGATATTTTTACAATACCTTTAATAATTAACAATTTTATGTAAATATGATAAACTAAAAATATCTGTAATAATGAAACATTATACTGTATATTACAAAAAAAAATTATTGTAATTTAATAACTAGATTAAATGTATAATATTATTATTTTATTATATATAACTTTAAAATAACTAAAAATTGTAAAAATAGTGTTAATTTACGATATTATAGCTTAAATTATAATCATTTATATTTTCGTTTATATATATACTGTATTTGATTATTATAATGTTTTGTTTAATAAATTCAGTCAATTGTATCAAACCATTAGTGATTATATGGTATATATTATGTGCTATCATATCATCAATGGATAGTATAATATCACCGGAAGGGTGTGGTGTGGGCCGCGAGTCAGTGTTGATGAACGGCCAGTGTTTCCGCTGGTATGCAAACTATACACAACAACAGGACATACAGTTTGGACGATCGGCCAAACCGGGAGAAGTGCCGTTTGCGGTATATATTCACAAATATAAGAAACTATGGATATTTCCTTACGGGGAAAGGTATATCAATATAATAATATTTATTAATAATTTTATAAATACTGTATATTTGATGACAATTTATATTATTTAAAACAAATAATATAAAAAATAAATTATTTTAGTATGTGTTCGGGTTCAATATTAAATGATCGATGGATTATAACAGCAGCACATTGTATATATAAGTATGTAATTTATAAAAATAAAAAATTATATACAAATTATAGTCAATATTTAAATTTCATGTTTTAGCCATTGTTTTTATTACAGTATATACCGTTTATATACACTTAGCAAACATTAATAATAATATTGATAAGTATAAAACTACTTAAAGTAAATAATTGTTTAAAAAAGATAAATCAAACAGATATTTTATGAAAGTTTCCAGAAAAGTTATTTGATAGTTAAACGAAAATATTTTTATAATTAAATAATAACCGTTGTTTACATATAAAGTAACGATTAAAACACTTTATATTATATTCTCGGAAAAAATCTAGTAATTAATTAACACCAAATCTAATACCTTTCATATGATTTTTATCCAATTGACATCATTTTATATATAACTTCATATAATAAATTATATTATATTTTATTATAATTTAAGAAATGGTTATTACGACAAATCGGCATTTACTGTATATCCTGGCGCTCAATCAATCAAACACTTACCACTCGGTTATAGTGTGGACCAGTTGTACGCACATCCAGACTATATAAGTGGTAATGAAACCAAATCTGATATCGGATTAATTAAATTGAAACAATGGATACCACTTCCAACTAAACGACAACCAATCAGTCGTATGAATGCCATTTGTTTGCCCACTAATAGTAGTATTAAAAGTAGTAATAGTATATATAAACCGTCTGAAAACCTTAATCAGTTGGCACTGGTAGCTGGTTTCGGTGATTATGGCAATCACTTGCATACTATTAATCGGCTACATTTTGGTTGGGTATATATTAAATATAATAACGATTTATTATCGTATTATATGAGACGTTATCCCAGATATAGTGGTACATCAATATGTAGTGTAAATTTCTATTTATTTTTTATAAATTAAAGAGAAAATTAAATATTAATTTTTTAAATATATTTAATTTATTGCTAATTGAATATAATATTCATTCATATTCTGTAAATCTCATTACTGTACACATGATTACACTACACTAACAAATATTTTTACACTATTATTAACTAACATGCACACACACACACACACACATACATACATACACACACACACACACACATACACACACACACACATACACACACATACATACATACACACACACACACACACATACACACACATACACACACATACACACACATACACACACATACACACACATACACACACATACACACACATACACACACATACACACACATACACACACATACACACACATACACACACATACACACACATACACACACATACACACACATACACACACATACACACACATACACACACATACACACACATACACACACATACACACACATACTACTGCATTACCATTTATTTAAATTTTAATTAAAAACAATTTATAGGGTGATTCTGGTGGTCCATTGTATCAGTATATTAACGGTAGGGCAGTGCTCATTGGTATCACACGAAGCAGTCAAGCTATTGATTCTTGTTTAGATCCAAAAGATTATAAATATCTAATATTTTTTGTACGCATTTTACCGCATTTGGATTGGATTACAAACATTGTATCTAATAATTAGCTAATTATATCTGACTTTAACATTAGAAAAATGCAATTAATTAATTATTTTAAATATTAGTTATAAAGAGCAAAATATTTTTAAAACTTTAAATTTTTATTCAATATTATATGCAATATATTGTATATTAAATATCAATATAATAAATATCCATATTTAGTGAATATTTGATATTTTACAATATATATAATAATTAACCATTTTATGTAAATATAATAAACTGAAAATATTCATATTAATGTAACAATATATATATATATATATATATATATATCAATATTACAAAAATTTATTGTAATTTAATAATCTGATTAAAGTTATATTATTATTTTATTAATTAATAATACTTTAAATAACTAAAAACATATATCTTAAACCAATTTTTATATTTTTATATATATAATAAATTGTTTAACAAATTCAGTCAATTGTTTGTAAAAAATTTATTGTAATTTAATAATTTGATTCAAAATAAAAATATTATTAACAATCGTAGTTTACTGCAGGGGGTAGACATTGGGGGTTTAGATTCAATTAGACAATAATTGCCAATAAATTGTGTTTTATTGTTAATGTATAGTTTAGACATTAATTTTGTTTTTAATATTTATTATTGAATGTAATAGTAATTATTATTATAAAAAATGTGATTTTATATTCTAATTTTTATAATAAAATTTTATTTTAAAGTGATTTTTAAAAATTGACATTATTTTATCATATAATCTATTGATATTTAAAGCATTTGAATTTATGCCCACAATAATTACTATGACTTTATGTTTGTAATTTTGATTTTATTTATATATTAAAATAATAAATAAAATTGTTAAAAAAACACAAATAACAATATTAAAAATTAATATAATTTAATTATTAGTTATATCGCTGCTATGGGGAAAGGTATATTAATATAATAATATTTATTAATAATTTTATAAATACTGTATATTAAATGACAATTTATTTAAAACAAATACTATGAATAATGTATTATTATAGTCACTGTTCGGGTTCAATATTAAATGATCGATGGATTATAACAGCAGCACATTGTATATATAAGTATGTAATTTATAAAAATAAAAAATTTTATACATATTATAATCAATACTTAAATATTAAGTTTTACCGATTATTATTATTAGATATACACCGTCTACTGGTATATATAAATCGTCTAAAAATCTTAATCAGTTGGCACTGGTAGCTGGTTTTGGTGATTATGGCAATCACTTGTATACTATTAATCGGCTACATATTGGTTGGATATATATTAAATATAATAACAATTTATTATACTATTATATGACACGTTATCCCAGATATAGTGGTACATCAATATGTAGTGTAAGTTTCTATTAATTTTTATTATAAATTTAAGAGAAAATAAAATATTAATTTTTTTTAAATATATATACAATTTTTTGTAAATTGAATATAATATTCATTTACCGGTATTTACTGTAAATCTCATTACTATACACTTGATTACACTAACCTAACAAATATTTTTAATTCCTATAAAAAAATTGCATTGAATTTACAATATTGTATATATTGTTAATATATTAACTTATAAACTAGTATCCCATAAATACCAGGGATAAGCAAGGGGGTCAAGCCA